GGGTGTTGGGGACGGGACAGCCACACGTGGGCAGGTGTGTGCAGTTCCTGTGTGTGTGCAGCTGAGTGGCTGCGTATGTCGTATGGCAGTGTCAGTGTGCATGTGGGGCTGTGGTCAGCTGGGGTCTGTCCCGGGTGGGGCTGGGGTCTGTCCTGGGTGGGGCTGGGGGTCCGTCCTAGGTGGGGCTGGGGCGTGGTCCCATGCACACCGTGAGTCTGTGGTCATGGAGCCCAGGAGTGACCTGTGTGATCACCCGTGTCCGGCCCACAGGGATCCCTCCGGCCAGCGGCACCGGGACCCTCCAGATCTATCTCATCGACATCAATGACAACGCCCCCGAGCTGCTGCCCAAGGAGGCGCAGATCTGCGAGAAGCCCAGCCTGAACACCATCAACATCACGGCGGCTGACGCGGACGTCGACCCCAACATCGGCCCCTACGTCTTCGAGCTGCCCTTCGTTCCAGCAAGCGTGCGCAAGAACTGGACCATCACCCGCCTCAATGGTGAGCCTGCCTCGGGCACCAGCCCACTGGCAGCCCTGCCAGTGGGAAAATCGGACTGAGTCTAGGGTGCAGGCCCCCAGGGGCCCGTCACCCCTTCACAGGAGGGTCGTGCAGCCCCTGCCTGCTCCGGGGCTCAGCCGCCAAGGAGGCCCCCAGGGCAGGCCCCAATCTCATCATTTTAACAAGCTCAGCCTTGACCATCCCAGTGGCTGTAACTGCAGACCACTGCCTATGCCAGTCACCAAATGATGGGACGGACCCTAACCAACATATTTCCTGAGGGCACTTTCCTAGCTGTGGCCTTGGTACAAAGGGCATCCAAGTTCTGATAGCATTTGCTTGTTCCCCAAGCCCTTACCAACACTGAATATTGTTTTAAAAAGCATTTTTCCAATTCTTTTAGCGAAAATCACCGTTTCCACTTGTATCTTCTGACCAGTGGACATTTTTTCATGTATTTATTGGCCACTTTTTGCTTCTGTGAACCATCTGTTCAATGTCCTTGCCTATTTTTCTTTGAAAATGGGGTTTTTTCTAATTGATTTGGTAGAACTTTTTATATGTTAAGGAAATAATTTCATCATTCTTCGTGTTGTAACTGCTCTATTTCTCTTTTTTTTTTCCTGGGCTGTGTTGGGTCTTCTTTGCTGCGCACGGGGTTTTCTCTAGTTGCAGCGAGCGGGGGCTGCTCTTCACGGCGGTGCGTGGGCTTCTCATTGTGGTGGCTTCTCTCGTTGCGGAGCATGGGCTCTAGGCACGCGGGCTTCTGTCGTTGTGGCACGTGGGCTCAGTAGTTGCAGCACGCGGGCTCTACAGCGCAGGCTCAGTAGTTGTGGCGCACGGGCTTAGTTGCTCCGTGGCACGTGGGATCTTCCCGCACCAGGGCTCGAACCCGTGTCTCCTGCATTGGCAGGCAGATTCTTAACCACTGCGCCACCAGGGAAGTCCAACTGCTGTATTCTTGAATTGCCAACGTCTCAACCTTATGGTATAATGCAGTGTGTGTGTGCACACATGTGCGCACGTCTACATGTGTCTTAGCCAAGCAGGCGTGTTAGATGTTCCCACCATCAGTCTTTGCCCTCGTTAGTCTCTCTCAGAAAGGAGGGCTGGCTGCTCAGTGAGCGGAGCCCGTCCCGTCACTCGCACCAGGTGACTACGCCCAGCTCAGCCTGCGCATCCTGTACCTGGAGGCCGGAGTGTACGACGTCCCCATCGTCGTCACGGACTCGGGGAACCCGCCCCTGTCCAATACGTCCATCATCAAAGTCAAGGTGTGCCCGTGCGACGAGAATGGCGACTGCACCACCATGGGCGCAGTGGCAGCAGCCGGGCTGGGCACGGGCGCCATTGTGGCCATCCTCATCTGCATCATCGTCCTGCTCAGTGAGTGCAGCTGGTCCTGGGGTGACGGGTGGAAGGGCCCAGGTCTGCCCACGGCCCCATCTCCTGGCCCCGCTCTACCTGCCAGGAGACTTCCAGAAGCCCAGCCCAACCGGGTGCCCAATAACGGACACAGGCACTCGCAGCCACACGTGCGCACCTTCCCGCGCATGCACGCCCTCGTGCAGTCACACGCATGCCTGCTCACGGGTGCCCCCTGCCCCACAGCCATGGTCCTGCTGTTCGTCGTGTGGATGAGGCGGCGGGAGAAGGAGCGCCACACAAAGCAGCTGCTCATCGACCCCGAGGACGACGTACGCGACAACATCCTCAAGTACGATGAGGAAGGGGGCGGCGAGGAGGACCAGGTGAGGCCCGCGGCCGGGATAGCGGGGACGCGTGCGGACACCCTCCCAGCCCTGGCAGAGCACACACGCTGGGGTCCCCACGTGACCTCCTGCCCTCAGCCCTGCACCCCTCCTCTGCACCCTCCGTAGCCACTGAGCCCCGCCCAGTGCCGCCTGCACCCAGGGCCCGGGGAGGGTGGGCCTGGGGCGCTGCCCAGTTGGTCACTGGGGACTCAGGGAGAGCCTTAGCCCATAAAAGCTTAGTGACCACCCCCCGTGAAGTGGGCGTAACAGCAGCCTCAGGTCCAGCTGTTTCCAGGAACACATGAGGAATGTGGTGGCAGCTGAGCAGATGGGGAAGGGGGTTGACCCCAGGGGGAAGGCAGCAGGGGGCAGACCCCACACGTGCCTTGAGGACGGGCAGGATTCGGATGAACAGAGGTGGGGTGAGCATTTCAGGAAGGACAGACCAGGTAAGGGGCCAGGACGGGGGGGCGCCGGGGGGGCCCGGAATAGGGCAGTGGATATGCTCAGAGCCCAGTCACAGAACACAATGAGGACGCACCCCACGACTTACCTGGTGTCTCTGCCTGGTAACCCCTCCCCCGGACCGCCTTCCCTGACTCCCCTGCCCACCCCCCCAGGACTACGACCTCAGCCAGCTGCAGCAGCCAGAGGCCATGGAGCATGTGCTGAGCAAGGCCCCCGGGGTGCGGCGGGTGGACGAGCGGCCGGTGGGCGCCGAGCCCCAGTACCCGGCCAGGCCGGTGGTGCCCCACCCAGGAGACATCGGGGACTTCATCAGCGAGGTGGGTAGCCCGGCAGTGCCGGGGGCGCAGACCTGCTAACACAGACAAGAAGCAGCCCACTTCTCTGGGGCCCGGCGCTGGGCGGAGCAGGCAGATCCAGACCTGGGTTCACGCCGGCCCTGCTGCTGCCGGCAGGGAGCCCTGGGCCGAGCCCCTCGGTTTAGTATCCCCGCTGCAGAAGGACTAACCTGCCCCCGCCCCTGGTGAGGACAAACACGCAGGGCTTAGCAAGACTGTTGGAACTTGAGGCCACAGTCCAGGCAAGAACAGGAAGGGGACCAGCAAGGTGGCTCTGACCCCAGACTCCTGTCTGCAGCGATCGGGAGAAGCCTTCGCAGTGTCCACTCAACCCCGATGACCAGACACACAGGCTGACCCCTCCCCACTCCACACACACACGGGGCACCAGGAACAGCCTGGGAGGTGAGCATCATTCCAGAGCTGCCACCTGACCACATGGCCGTGTCACCCATCCTAACTCCTGGGGTCTGGAGGCCATGTGGCATCAGAGTCACAGCCGACAGCGTCCCTTTGCTCATCCCCTTGGCAAGAAAAGCTGACCCACCTCTTGAAGCTGAGCCCAAGGTGCCCAACTGACACGTCCAAGGGCGTCAAGAGCGCGCCTCCCACCTCTGCTCCCATCCTCCTGTGCGGTAAAGCCGAGGGACAGCGTGAGCCAGGACGCGTGGCTGCACCCCAGACGCTCCCCCCCACCGCCAGCTGCTGCGGCCTGGGCAGCCAGTACCTCCGCGCCCACCGTGGCTCCCACAGACGGGATGCCTTCCGTGCCCCGTGTAGCCGGCGTGGGTCCCTGCGGATTTACCACCCATCTCTAACACGACTGTACTTTGAGAGGGGCTGACAACACTTCTTTCTCCACCTGTGTCAGAGCCGGACTTTAAAAGGATTTATTTAAACAGAACAGAACCCAGGGAGTGGTTCGGCAGAAACACAAAAGAGATTTCTCAGAACATTCCCTGAAACAGACCGTGTCTCAGGCCGTAAATGAAATTTTTATGACTGCCCAAAAGCCAATTCAGCTTAGACAACATTTACCATCTACAGTGTAATAAAATTTTTAAAACTCCAAAAACTACATCCTCCCTGATCGACAATCAAAAGCCCACTTTTAAACAACTTAGAGAAAAGCAAAAATGGAAATGACCAACCATTCCGTACTGAATAATGGAAAAGGTACTCCCCTCCCTAACGAGGGCAGGCTTAGGCAGTGACCAGCACAGGCCCCCGGGCCGTCCTGCGGGAGACCCCTGGAGCCGGCGGGGAGCCCTCCAAGCTGTCCCGCCCCCCGGGGGGAGGGAGCGGGGAGGTGTGTCCACCCTTCCCACGGTCCCCGGGTGGGCACTGCCCAGGGGCACCCTTGGCCAGTGGTCAGAGTGCTGGAGGTGGCCCGGCCAGGGGTCCCAGCATCAGGCACTAGGGGAAAGGGGCCGGGGCACGGGCAGGGGCTCCAGCCACACCTGCTACAGCCCCGTTTGCTCCCGCACACAGTTACGGTAACAACTTCAGGCGTCTGACACCCACCCCGGGTTCCCCTCCCTGTGGCAACAACCAGGGACTCATGGAGGCTGGCCTCTCACACAGGCCCCGGCCGGCCCTCCGCCTGGCTGTGTGTGCTGCCCCCAGTCCTCTTGCACGGTTCATTCTGCAAACACTGCGCCCCTACTCAGGTCTCTGAGGCGCCTTTCACTGACACGCAGGAGCACTTATTGAGCACCTGCTGCATACAAGGCCCCATCACTGCACCTCCCCAACCTGCCTCCCCAGCTCCGCTCCTGGGCGCCCCTCTGCCCCCCGCCCTGCACCCTAACCCGTGTCTCCACGGCCCCCAGGGACTCCGCGCAGCCGACAATGACCCCACGGCGCCGCCCTATGACTCACTGCTGGTCTTCGACTACGAGGGCAGCGGGTCCACCGCGGGCTCCGTCAGCTCCCTGGACTCATCCAGCTCCGGGGACCAGGACTACGAATACCTGAACGACTGGGGGCCCAGGTTCAGGAAGCTGGCGGACATGTACGGAGGCGGCCAGGAGGACTAAGCGGCCCCGCCCCAGACGAGGCGAGAGCAGCGCTCGGACGTATGGGAGCAGACAGTGGGCCTTCCCGACTCCCGCGGCCGCGCCACTCGGCGGTGTGTGAGGGGTCCCCGCCCGCCCCCCGCACTGAGCTGTCTGGCACGAACACTTGTCAGCCCGCAGCCACCCCCAGCGCGGTAGCTGACTCGGCACTAAGGAGAGCAGAGGCACTGTCTGAACCTGAATTTCCTAGGACAGAAGCACTGTTTAAAACAAAATGAAAGTGCCTTTTGGTACATGTGTCAGATTCCCTCACACTCAGGAGCATCCCCCCAGCCAGTCCTGAGTGCCCCCAACCCCAGCCAGTCCCAGCTCTGAAGGCACGAATTAAGGAATTGGGGAGAATGTGTCCTTTTTTTCGATCTTCTATCAAGAAAACAAGTGGGTGACGCACTTGACAAAATTGACAAAGGAAAACAATTTGGGGTCCAAACGCCATAAGCCTTCTGAGTGCTCACACTTTGCTTGCACAGTTGGGGTCTCCCGGGCCCCTTGGGGGTCCCCGAGGCCAGAGGCCCCACGTTCAGCTCCTGCAGCACTGAATCCGCCTGGGGCAGGCCAAGCCAGTGGACCAAAGGCCCGCTGTACAGCTGGGCTTCCACAGAAGTGTCTGCCGCCCCGACTCCCAGATGCTGGAAATCGCTGGGCAGCTGGGGTTCCCAGGGGCTGTCTCTGATGCCCCCCATCTCTGCCCTTGGCCACCCCCGGGGTCCCCCAGTCAATCATGAGGCCTCCCCCAGGGCCAACTGTGACCCTGAATGCCACCCAGGTCCCCAATGCCTTTGGTCAAGGAGAGTACGGTGTCCCAGGAAACCACAACCAAAGCCGGCCGGTATGCCACCAAACCCTGGCATGAGCCCTCCACCCCTCTAGATCAGACTCCCAAGCGACTCCGTCAGAGACCCGGCGGACACTCACCAGTCCAAACCCCTGAAGGCTCTGGACGCCTCTGGCCACCGGCGGGGCGTGCGGACTGCAGGGAGAGCTGATTCTCACCGGGGTCCCAGGAGGCTGGAGACGACCAGGGGGGACTGGCGGGCTCCTCCCTGCCCTGCTCCCCTGGACCAGAGTTTCTGATGCTCGTGAGCTGATGTGGATGGCTAAGGTCGGCTCCGAATGCCGGGACAGCCCCGTCGTCGCTGTGCCATCTGTCCCACACGTGCATCTTACCACATCCGCCAGAAACAGTCTCCTTTCCTTTGGACCCGTGGCAGCAGCTGCAGGGCCAGATAGCTGCTCGAGCTCTCAGAGCTGGCCGTGCCTCCTGCGGGGCAGTCTGACTCGCAAGCCAGACTCCAGAGTCAGCTCCACAGCGCAGCAAGGAGCCCCCTGCTGTGTCTGTCCTCGGCTGCGTGAGTAGAGGCGCTGCAGTCCTTCGCCCAGCCATCTCCCAGGGACAGCCATTCTGGGTGTGAAGGCGCCTCAGGCCGGCAGGAGAGCCACCTCCTGGGGGATCCTTGCCTGCTCTCGGGCTCCCCAGGGAGGGGCCTGGGCTGCCACTGGCCCCGGGCAGGACTTGGTGTCGGAGCCCCACCTCACACCTGCTCCTGGGGCCAGGGGAGGCCTCGGGAGGGCGGGGGCGGGGTTTCACACGCTCCCCGTGCCCTCCGTCGGGGGGTCTCTCCCTGATCCACTCCCCAGCCCACAGCCTGCCCTGGTGCCATGGTCATCCTCTTTTCTAAACAGCCTCAGCCTCAAAGATGAGCTTGAGTGTACACGTGTGTGCGCGATCCGCGTGGGTGTGTCCCCCCTGGACGTAGGGTTCTTCCCCAAACCAAACTCATCACGAATTCCATCCACCCTCCCAGAGCTGAGCTGAGCTGAGCTGAGCTGAGCTGAGCTGGGGAGACAGGCTCCGGCCTGTGGCCTGAGAGAGGCCCATGCTGGGCTCCATCCATCCTGACCCCGTCCATGACTGCTGGGGAGGGACGCGCGGACGGAGGCAGTGGTCACCGGTGTCACATGCCGACGCCCCTACGCAGACTGCCGTCTCCCAGACGTGGCGGGCAGCGTGGCCTGCCGGAGGGAGGGGACGCCCCCCTGTGAAGCCATGCTATGCAAATCGCTCGGGGTCAGGTGGCCCGTGAGGATTGCCCCAGTGTCTGAAGGTGTGGCCGTTCAGGATTGCTGGTGGTGTCGGGGCTGGTGAGGTGCGAGCTGGAACCTTGTTTGTTTGTTTCTGGAAAGCTCATCCTCCAGTTGACGTTCTAAGGGTGGATACGGTGGGGCCCCGACAGCTGTGAACTCTCCTCACTGGACTCCCGAGGCCTCCTTTGGTCCCCTGGGCCCTGGGCTCACCCCAAGGATGGGTGTGCCAGGCGCGGCCTGTGACTCGGACCCCTCGGGGCACCAGGCGCCCTGCCTCTCCCCACCCAGGAGAGCCGGATGCAGAGTCCGTCTCACTGCCCCCTTCCAGCTTTCTTCCCCCGGCCCCTCGCCTCATCACTGCCAGGGCCCCTGCATCTCGCCTGCATCGCACAGGCCGAGGCTACGGCAGCCAGCGGGGGACACGTCAACGGAGGGGGTGCTTCTCACACCCATCCCTGCTTCCAGGCAGCCGGACAGCTGCCCCTGGAGGCTCCCACCCCCTCCCAGATGCCTCCCAGAGCTCCGTCCCAACCAACGGGTTAGCATTAGCTAAACACACAATCAGTGTCAAACGTCCCTCTTTCGTAGCTTGTAGATACGACGGGTCCAGATCGGGACGCGGCCAGCGGAGGCCTGGACTCGGTGCTGGCAAAGCGCTCGGGCAGGTTCAGTGCCTGTAGGGAATTTCTGTTCTTGTGAACAGGAGACGCCAGCAAGAATGCCCTGGCCTCGGGCGGTGGGCACCCCCAGCCTGGGGCCACCGTGCCCGACAGGCCTCAGCACCCGCCACCCCTGGCCCAGCAGGTCTTCCCTTTCCTGTTTCCTTCAGAACATCCCGGGCGCCGGACCTCCCACCGCCAACGTGTCAGGGTAACTGCAGTCGTCAGGCCTTCCCTACTGTGAGCACCACCCGCACGGGCCTTTGAGATGACAGCTCTGTTCCCTCCAAGGGGAGCGTCAGGGAGGGGAGTCTCGATTTCTGTCAAGGCTGAAAGGTGTAACACCAAGAAAGCAAACACAACCTCCCCCACTATGGAGCATCCTGAGACACAGTTCCGCACAAACTGGCGTAGATAAGATAGGCCCCCCGCGAAGCGGGGGACCCCGGGGGGGAAACCCCTGTGTATAATTGGAACGCATTTTGCTTTTCCTTTCTCTCCTTTTCCCATTCTAATTTTTTTTTTTTCTGCATGTTTCTTTTTGAAAACGGACAAAATGTGTAGCAGCCCGCATGACTGTGGTTGTTCTGGGGAAAGATACTGGAGTATGATGTATTCACACTGCATCTCTGAGCATTGCACAGTTAGACAAACGTTCCAACTTTTTTTGTAATCGTCAACAGCACAACTATTTTGTATTGTTGTTTGTATCATTTTGTACCAAAAAAAAAAAAAAAAAAA